GAACAGGCGGCGCGAGCGCGCTGCGGCCGCGGCAGCCTGACACCAACACACACACGCACAGTTCCCATCAGAAACGCTGGGAGCTGCTGTTTCTGAGAGAGCCCCAGAAGACACGCTGCTTCTCTAGACACTGCTGCTCACCCCTCCTCCCTGGGCTCAACAGAGCTTCGGGGACGACCTGCGCACCTCTTCCAGGAGCCGTTAGTGCCTCCATCACCCGCTTCCCAGCCCATCCTGCCCCACGTCGGCCCCTGCTCGGTTTCCCGCCCTCCTTACCATCTGTTCCAGGTCTTGCAAACTCTCATACAGATGCACAAGTCTCTATGACTGAGGTAGCTAAAGACAGCCATCCAGACTTCCCGCTGCATCACGTGGGCCGCCCCGTCATCCAGGGGCAGCGAGTCCGGAGGGGGGCTGATGGGAGGCGGCCGGATAACGTGCCGTTCCATCTGGATGCATTTGGGAGGAGAGAGTGAAGGCGGTGGCCGGGCGATGCCCCGAGGTGTGCTGCGCAGGCTGGGGATGAGCGGGTGCCGCAGCTCCCGGGGAGTCCCGTTCAACCCTTTGCTGAACCTATGGAGTCTCTCGCTGTTGTTCAAAGCACGCTTAGGTTCCTCGTTCTCGCTCTCGGGTTCGGATTTGATGGGTTGGTGATTCTCGTTGGCAAGGCTGTTCTCGGTTTTTTGGATCTCCTGGTTAAGCTCCTTGCTGAGCTCTTTGCTCAGTTCCTTATTGGGAAGCCGCCTTTTCCGCCTAATCTTGAACTTCTTCTTGTCCCTGGGCTCGGCACCCTCCGTGCTGGGACCCGCAGTGGGCGAGCTGGACCGCGACTGGTCACTATCCTTGGACCTGGGAGGTGCTTCTGGCAGGTCATCCTCCGGCTCCTGCTTCAGGCGCCGAAGGGGTTTGATCATGGCAGTTCGGTCATCCGGAGACTTCCACGATCGCCGCTGAAAAGGAAGAGACAAGGGCTGACTATTTGAGCAAGAACGCACTCAGCAACCCTTCCCATGCCCATGCTCCGCACAGGCAGCCCTGCCCGGGGGGGGTCAGGCCTCCTGCCAGCACCAGCCCCACCCAGCCCAGCACAAGGGTACATTCACCGGCCAGAGGTATCAAGTCCAAGGGCCATCGCACGGACGAGGAGTCCAGCGATCGGCTCTCCGGGCTCCAGGAGAGCGATAAATGCATTTATTCACCATGCATAATCCTACAGATTTAAGGGCCTTACTCATTACACAGCCGATGGTTTACACAGAGGATGAACAGCTGCTTCCCCAGCAGGCCAGAAGAAACCAGGCTCGGGCCACGCTCCCTGGGTGAAGCGCCCATGGCAGACGCTGGCTGGCACACGTTCGGGCCCAATGGCTGAAGGGTCAGTTTCTGAAAGCTCCTGAACCGCCATCACCGACTCGCACCGTGGCCGGGCTGCGGTGGCCCCTGCTGCCGGGTACTCACAGCCTCCTTCAATTACACTTTCGCTGCTCCTTTACATCCTACTGAACTCTGCTGATCTTCTCGAGCTTCCCCACCTCCGCCACACACAGAACAGGGAATGTGACGGTTCTGCCACGCTGCTCGCCTGACAAACCTCACGCTGACACCATCTCCAGCGCAAGGCGGGCTGGCAGGGGTTAGCTGGCACCTTCTCCCCGGCCCCGGTCATTGCTCCCAACAGCAAACTGCCCTGCGCTGGCTCGCGTTCATCAAATCTCTGCTTGGGGAGCACCAGACAGAAGCATAAGAGACGTACAAACCCAGACCAGGGAAGGCTTCAAGTCTAATCTCGTCACTACAAGCAAGGAAGCAGCCACCAACTGTTAAAATTAAAGAGCCCTAATCAGAAGAGATGTGGACTGGCAAGGAGAGGTGCACTGCTGCAAACACACTTGTTCTATCAGGAGGTCTGTGCTTTTGCAATAAACTAATTGGATCAGGTCCGTGGATGTGCTCCTACGCTTCAGACTGCGGCGCGCAGCAGAGAAAGCTGATCACTCTGTCTTTAAATTAACATGTTGTAAAGGAAGAGGTCACGGGGAGTTAATGATAGGTGAGAATAAAAAAATACAACATCAGACTGCTGTCAGCTTGCAGCATCCTTCACGCAGGGTACAGACGAGCGCTTGGTTTGAAGGTATCGGACTTGTGTTACCGTGCCAGATTGTCAGAGGGGATCGATACGCGTGTGCCCGGTCACCCCTGGCTCCCTGGGGTGCCAGCGGGGACTCCGGGGATGTGCTGAGGGGCTGTGTGGCAGGGGCAAGGTTGAACCACACAGGAAGAGGGAAACATCAGCACAGAAACTCAGTTTTATTCCTTGCTTCATCAAAACACAGCTGGCTGCTGTACTTCAATACAGGACGCCAGAAGAGAAAATATAAAACCAGATAGTGCAGCTAAACTATCCTGGAGCGTAAAGGTTTCCATGAGAGAGAGATTCTGTAATTTCAAGATGTGAACGGGATAATTAAAATGCCTGCAGTGACACAAGGACGTGACTGATAGAGAAACCGGCTCACCAGTCAGCTCACGTGAGGAGAAGGGATTAAAAGGGATTGAGAACACCTCTACTAAAGGGCAAAATACCTTCCTCCTGATGAGTTTGGCTTATTTTCCAAGATTTTAGCTGTTGGAAGAAAAAAAAGGCAAAAACCCCAAACCATGGCAGCTGATGAGGTGTCTGATGAAGGTCTGGTGATGCACAGCGCCTTCCTCACGCACTGCGGGGCTTTCACGGAGCAATTCCACCCATCCATAAACACGGCAGTGAGTCCAAAGGGATGGAAGAGGGAAGCGTGGCCAGAAAGCAGATATGCATAAACTGGTGTAAGTGAATTTTACTCACTTCTCTGCACCAAAGCAACCCCCATCCTACATTTACCGTACCGTAGTGTTCCCACTGTCAAGCCTCGCGGGGCAGCCTAATATGCCATACATACAAAACCAGGCACCCATTCTGAATGTAAACCTCTCAGCTGTTTATTCATGAGAGGCAGTAAACCCAGGTCCTCATTTCTACCTCTGCAAACCAGCACTTCTGCATATCCCAGTTACCATACTTCCCAATCCACAAGACAATTCCGAGTGTCCCTGCCTGGCCCAAGCGCTCCGACTGCCCCGTTCAGGGGGAAGCTGTCCACACCGCTGTTGTGAGCGGCTCCTCCTCTGCGGGACACAGAGGTGTCATTCCTGAAGGTCCTCTGATGGGTTCCGAGGGCTGTACATCCCTGAATCAAACTCAGAACAAGCTGCCATGCGCCACCAAGTGGATGAATATGAAAAGGTTCCCACTAAAAATTGATTTTCACCTTGATCCTACTCCAAGCATAATTTAAGGACTTTTTGCTTAAAGTGGGTTTTACAGTATTTTGAATAAAACAAAAGCCACAGCCCAGTGTTTTCGGCTTCTGAATGTCAACCCGAGTGTCGCTGTTCAAACCACTGCCCTGCTAGACTAGCAGTTTTCAGAAAGGAAGGTGAAACATCGCCGTTTCTTTTGTTACAATCTGGAATTTCAAGCTGAGCTATAAGCCAGAAGACATCAGCCCCAACCAGCCCACGTACATCTGCGTAAGGACATGAAAAGGGTGGTTTATCATACCCGCTTTCTCATCGTGGATTCCTGGGGTTTCTCAAATTTCCTTTTCCTCCACAGATGCACTTCGTCTGACTTTCTCCTCAGTATTGAGTCAACTTGAGTCTTTTTGGAATGTTCCTCCGATTTCCGCCTGGGAGTTTCTTCACAATCCCCTTTCCGTTTTGCAGCATCTGTCACCTCCTTGTTGTCTCTGTTCATTTTCTGCTCCTTCAGCAATGAGCCTGGGAGATTTGATGCGTATTTGAATCCTGGTCCGCGTTTTTGCTTGTACGCCAAAGAGACACAAAACACAAACAAACTTTATATCTTACGCCTTTCTCAGCTCTTAGGTAAGTTGCCTCCAACACTGGTGGGCTGATCACTTTGTAACAGACAGAATGATCAGCAAGGGGTTAGAGTAAATCAGTTTCAACCTTCATCAAGTTATTTTCCTAACTACACACTTCAAGTGTCTGTCTCAGTTTGCAAAGAAATAATGTTTCACTAATCCAACAGACACTTTGGGTCCTAAGTATTTCCCAGGTTTTGAGTGAAGTGTGGGTACATGGAACAAGAATACAAAAATTATTAAAGAGCAGAAAGCCATCAGCTTATTTCCTTCAATTCAACTGAATTAAGTACCAAATCAAAAGCTGGGATGGGGCAGAATTCTATCTACAAGGCAGAGGGAACGCTTGAGATTTTGTATCTCATTCCAGCAGCACTTATTTCCATTAAACTCACTTTTCCAGTTTTCCCTGCGTGGTTGCACTTTGGACACTCCCAGCAGTTCGGCAGCTCATCGTTAACCACACCATCCGATTCCTTCACCTGGTGAGAGAGAGGCACAGCTCAATTCACAATCCTGCTGCAAACAAGCTGTAGAAGTCTACGGGTAGATCGTTTAGGGGCATTTTGTACAGCTCATTATTTGCTCTGATTGACTGCTGCTCTCCCAATGGCTGCAGCAAAGAAATCCAGGTCAGTGCAGGCGCTGCACCATCCTGCTGGTGCTGAGCAAGCCCTCGGCCCTGCACCATCACCCTTCAGATGCCAACAGGAGAGGAAAGCACGCTGGACAAATCGGTATTTGACAAAGGGCTCAGGTCTGGGCTTTTAGGGAAGGTCAATGACAATCTCAATTAACACAGGGCATATTCTGCTCTTGCAAAAAACCTAAAAAAACCCAAAAAGCACCCCCACAGCCCAAATCAAAACCCCCAAGCCCCAGGACTGTAATTGCACCATCTCCAAACGTCCTCCCACACCATTTATTTGCAAAGCTCGGTCCTGTCGTCCCCCCGGAACGAGGCACAGTCTGATCTTTTAATAGGAAGGATTTTTCCCATACACAGGCTCTCACATACATTGATGCTGTTCGGCATTTTTAGAAGCCAAGCGCCCTGCACTGTAATCAAGTGTTCCTTAAAATACTTTTCTTTACGGATCAGAACTAGCAGTGCCCTGCCTCCAGCGCTCGAGCCCATGTGCCAATAAAAATGACGGCTGCCAAGCCAGGCAGGGAACAGGCACTTTTGTTCAGAGGCTGGACACACGAAGGCGTTTTTTTGGGTTTCTCACACCCACAGTTACCCAGCTCGCGTAAGGAAGAGGAACGCTTCCTACTTCACTGCCTCCGAGCTGTGACATTGGGCTTTTGAAAGAGAAGACGCGCGCTCAGTGTTGTTACACTACAGTAAAGCACAGTCCTGCCCCACGCAGCTGAAAAGCTGCTGGCTTCTGAATTGCCACACAGGAGCCAGCGTTGCTTTCCAAACAGGAGAGAGGTGAAAAGGCAAATCTGTGAATGAAACAGGCTGGGAAGCAGAGCGAAGGTAAAAACACCCTTCGCACGCACACACCCTCACTGATGGCACATTCGCTTTTAAGAGTTTAGTTGTATGTTCAGAAAAAAAGCCTTAAGGAGGGGAAAGAAAAAAAAAAAAGATTAATTTATGACTACTGTAGACAACAAAAACATGCTACTGTCAAGACAAATAGCTGGGCACTGGCATCAGCAGCGCAGAAGCGGGAGACTTGCTGCTGAAACAGGCACGGGCAGAGATCTGCAGATTTTTCATGTTTCTGAAACATTTCCTCCTCTCCTCCCAGCTCAGCCAGAACGCACTGGCTGGGCAGGATCAAGCCCTGGGTTTAGGGAACTGCTTCCCCAAGTCCCCGAGCCAGACAGCAGCCTTTCGAGTTCCACCATCCAGCCAGACCGATGACATGTCAGTCTCTCTCAGCAAGTCTGCTGGAGTTAATAAATGAGTAAATGAAGTGGGCAGGATTTACATACTGGTTTTATCACAACGGCGCGCCTTTGAACCTCCTTTCCCATGGTAGGTGTAAGATACTCCAGGAGCTGTTGTATACATCTCTGCCTCGGGGGAACCATTCCTGGCCTGAGCCCAAGTTGGGAACAAGTTATTTCCCGCGCTGAACATAGAACAAATGCTACCGAAGGGGAAGCACTGCAGCTCCGTCCCTTCTGTGAAGTTTGAGGAACCGAATAGATGTGAGGAACCGTACGCAAACTAATTAGACACACACCAACCTGCCACTGAACCTGTCCCAGGTCCTTCAGGCTGGGTGGGAGCCAGCGCGGAGCGTTTGTTACAAACAGCGGGTGGGTGTCTGCACCACAGCGCGAGGCGGCTCCAGAAACGTACCTGCAGCACGAGGTCAGCAATTTGGAAAGTCCGAACACGAGACTATGCTACTGGGAAGTCTTGTTAAGGAACACGGAGACCCAGGGATGCTGATCTGACATCGCTGAGAGCCACGAATTCCGGCAGTGCCAAGACTGAAACAACGCAGGCAGCGAGATGCACCTGGGCTGCAGCCATGGGCTGGAAAAAGTCTATTTCTGCTGTTCTGACAAGGCACCCAAATATTCCCCTTTTCCATCATTATCACTATATCCACCTAAGAAGAAAAAGAACAGGCTCCTACAGGGGAAACCAGCCCCTTCTCCTGAAGGGAACAGCATCAGGCACTGCACTCGCTCACGCACACTAACCAGCTGTAACAGCAATCTGACATGTACCAAGAAAATAATAATCATTGATATTGGTTCAACTCATGGCTCCGTAACCACAAAAGGCAATATTCCTCTGAACATCTCACTAACTCCCTCTGGAAACAACGCTGCGCTGGCAAAATTCTCGCCAAGATCGTTTTTATATGCAACTCTTCAGTAAAAGGAGCGTTTGCACTGGTGTTGTGTTTTCAAGGAAAGCAGCACATCAGGTACTCCACCGTGACCGTCCTCAGTCCCTGCAACACCCTGGCTGTCCCCAGCGCCGTTCCAGCACAAGCCCCTAACGCGCTCCAGTACGCAGGGGAAAGCCCCCACAAGCATGCACGGCCAGATCAAGAAGCTGGAAGAGGATGGACTTGATTCAAACCAGGAACAACCTGCCCCGGAGCACAAACTAGCCAGTGCACGTGCCAAACTGCTCCACAGACTTTGGAGATGTGTTTCAGGGGGAATAAGCCAGGAAAGGACACTCCTCCCTTCGGTGATGCAGTTTATTCCAGTCTCCCCCAAGGGTACACGTGCCAGATATCTAACTGGAGACGACCGACAGCTCCCGCGTACCGCTGCCGATGCACCACGCAGGGCAGGAAGGGTCCTGCTCTCGCTGGACAGCCAGAGCAGCTGCCCTGGGGCTGCGTCTGCATTCAAAGGCACTTCCCACAAGGACTATTTATGGGTTCCATCCTCTGGGCTTAACCAACATGTAAACATGAAAACAGTTGGTTATTTTTTTTTTTTGTCTTGCAGAAAATCATGGAACCTGGGAATAAAGAGCACGGAGGGATCCAAGGAAGAGGCTCCATTTTCGTTTTGCTGTTCCCCTGTGCATAGACTCATCTCACCTTCCAAGGCAGTTCTGAAATCCTCCCAGTGCCCTTTTGTCTCAAATAAACAGCACCAGTTCCCCCACCATTTCAGCTCAACAGAACCACAGAGAAATTAAAATACAAGACACACAAGGCACACTGGAAATCTCCCACTGCTTCATTTTCAGGAACACCCAAAGCAACATTGTTCCTAGTTAGCAAAACAGCACTCAGAGCACCCCACACGCCTAAAAGAACAAACAGCACTTGCTTGATTTCACAGATCTGACCCACATCCTGTGCAACTGGTCCCAAATGTGGTATGGGGAGAGGAAACCGTACTTGAACTGTCACTAGACAACACTCGTGTCCTCTGGACTCGGCCACGAAGTGTCACCGACACTGTAAAGTGAGAGATGGGTGAGCGCCGGGCACTTTCAGGAAGGACTGGAATAGCAACAAGCCAGAACTGAGCTACCTCTGAAAACGAGCAGCTCCTTCCCTTGCTTCTTCAGCCCCCGAAGCCCTGCTTTAAGCAGAGCCAAGCAAGCAAAGCTCCCTTCCAGAGCCCAGCTGCGGCAGGAGCTGCGAGCACCAATTTCACCGAGCAAGGAGACAGCCACGGGTCTGGTTTGCCAGCGACCTACCTTCTGCTCTAATAAATGACACACACTCAGCTCGGTGCAACACGGCATACAGCACAAGAAAAAGAAAAGGCCAGGAGAGTGTCACCCCAGGCCTGCATAGGGAACGTACCTCTCCTCCCAGAGATCCCAGAAGGGCCAAAAGCTGCTTCTGGGGCACAGTGTGTCAGAATACATTTGCTTTGGCAAATCACTTTAACCATAAACAAATCAGCAACAGGAAATGGCTGATCAGCTGAAGCACAACCAGCTCTGTAGAAAGGAGGCTTCTCAACACTCACACACAAAGACATGCCCAAAATGACACTTTTGTTACTGGCAAACATTACAGCTGCTCACAGGACTCAAGTCAGCCAAGGGTGAGCGCTCCTGCCGCGTGGAACTCGCTCAGTTTGTTCTCCAGAGCTGCAACGTTCCTACTTCAGCATTTGTTCATAACATCTTTAAAGCCAGCTGCTTGGCACATCTGCGCCTGCACAAACACAAACAGCACACTACTTCTTTGCACTTTGCGGGACACAGGAAGGAGCCACCGACACAGGGACTGTGACTAACTCATCCAGAGGTGCAGGCAGATTTCTCTGTGCTCTTTAGCTTCCCGTCACAACTGAAACTCCTCACTTCCTTAAACAAGAAGCAAAAAAGAAAGAAAGAAAAACAAAACAAAACCCACAAGACATTTGCATGCACACGCATTCTGGAGGCTCTGCTCACAGGGGATGCTGGTTACACCCGAGGATCCCCGCCTGCCAGGCAGCTCTGCGTGCGCCACGGCTGCCACCCTGCTGCTCACACCAACCCTTTGCTCACTGAAGTTTCCAAAGACTAAAATGTGAAAACTTTCCAATTTCTGTGCACTACTTTTATATGAAGGGGATAACTAATCCAGTTTTTACTTCCAACATGTATCACATCCTTCTACTCACCTTAAGGCATCCAGGGTGTATTATTTCGTTACAAATGGAGCATTCCATTAGCATGAGATTAAACTTGCTCTCCTCCTCTTCCACAGTGTCCTCCTTCCCAGCTTCTCCACACACCAGACACACAGCAGTATGAGGCAACACCGGCTGTTTACACAGACCAGAAAGAAGTCTTGATCAGGACATGGAAGACATGCGGAAACAGACGAACTCTGCACTTACAGCCTCCTCATTTCAAAGAGGAGATAAATAAGGATTCACTGTGCAAACTGCTGAAGGCTCCATCCCACAAAGGCAAGAAAAACTGGTAATAACCAGGGCTGGGTACCCAGACCAAGCATCACAGGACACGTTTCAGGGAATGAAAGTGCCCTCCCTGGAGCAGCACAGACTCATCGGGCACTCCGGGGACGGACGAAAATACTTTTTGGTGCATCCCTTGAGCCTGTGAGGTGGCACAGCCATTGGCATGCAAGGCACTTCACTAGCGTACAGCAGCAATCCAGAACATCACTGTTCACAGCCATTAAGCTTCCCAATCTGACCAGCAATTTGGCAGCTCCCTTATTTTACAAGCAGGGCAGACATGTTATGGGACCCGACCCAGGTCTCGCAGCAAGGCCACAACAGAACCAAGAACAGACCTTTTCCTGCCTGACAGCCTTTATCTAGGGCCTTGCTCCCAACCTGAGCATTGCAGAAAGCTCTGCACAGACATTTAAAAAGAGAATTTCTCCTGCAAGTGTCACAAGTGAGAAGTGCACTGATTTTTTCTGTCTTTGGCTCAGGAAGAAAGGGAACTGCAGCATCTCACATATATGTCACCCATGTCAAAGCACTGAATGCCAGCCTAATTAAAAAGCCATCTTTGTGCTAACGAGGAACAAACTTCTCGTTGGTGGCAATAAGGTATAAGCCTCATTACAAGAAAGAAAAGGAAGATCCTCATGAGAAGCTGGCTGCAATGTGAAATGGAATTGATTAGATTGCAAGTCCTTAACTATTAAGCAGCCAGAGGCAGAGGGGTGGCTTTTCACAGCAAGGATCTCTCGTAGATGGAGTGAATAAAAACCCAAAGTGGATACTTGCACACCAAACCAAATCTAGGCAGCAACAGTGCGTCTTTGGGCAGGTGTCAGATCAGGAAAAACCTTGCTAGAGTGAGCCATCACAGAGCACTCTGCTGCCCCACGTACATTAGCTACAGCAACACCTCCCTGCTTTCTCATGCCAGCACTTACCCACGCTCCATTTTAAATGCATTTTGCTAATGCTATTTAACTCCCACCCTTCCTCCAAGTACAAAATAGGAATCCCCAGGATCCCATTCTACCAGCACGTAAACCAGAGTAGAACTAAGTTGTCCAGAGCCGTAAGAGCTCTGTCCACTTGTTTTGTCTGATCTCCCACACAAGTAGTATTTATATCCACACCCAAGAACAAACATCCCAGGAACAGTACAGTTTTTCTTGCTGGGAGCAGGGGTATCTAGGGAATCTCCCTTGTGTCCCGACTAGCCCTGTCCCACTGATGGGCTGGAACAGCAGCCATGCTGTCACAACTCGTCCTCCCAACACAGAGCCCCCACGCTCCCTTCAGACCATCCAACGCAGCATAAAGCGTCCCAGGCACTCCTGCTTCCCTTCCTGATTGAACTGCTGATGCAGAGGAGTTTCCTGTTCTCCGAATGGCAGTGCAGGCTCTCTTTAGGCTTCTGAGTTTAATGAAAGTCTGCGTGCAGTTAATATTGTCAATGTTATTAAACAGAGGAAAGCACAATCCCAGAACTGTAGGGATCATTACTTCCACAGAGCCTTGCTTCAGTGTTTTGGGGTTTTTTTTTGGCTGGAAGCCATTGCATAGGTACTACTGCAATTGTTGAGAGAACATAATGAACAAGAGTAAAGACAACAGGATTGCTTATAGAAACATAAAGGACCATTAGAAGTTACAACAGTTCAACTGATTAATTTTCTGTGCTTTTGCCGCTCTAAGAAAGTTTGTAATATTCCCCTTGGTATTTACACCAACGGGAACCTACGATGGGCAGAGATGTCTCCTTCAGTGCATGCAAGGAATCGGAGTACCCTGGCTACCAAGCCCTCTACTCTAACCACAGCTCCTGGAAATAAAACTGCACGATGCCAAGAAGGAAAATACTTCGTCATTAGAATAAAGGGGATGAGAGGATGACTACACTCAGCCAAAAGAGAACCCCGTTCCTCTCCAAAAGGCTCAGCCTGTGTATCAACAGCGAAACAGCTTACTATGAAAGTTTCCTTCATCAGTCAGGACAAGAAAGAGCACTGCAGCCCTAATTTAATCCCTCCACTAAAAGGCAGCACGATTTCACTATTTCTTCCCCTTGGAGAATAATAAATTCTTCATCCATGCTGTTCAATTCATGCCACACTCCAGGAAATCAAGTGTTCAAAGAAAAGACACTTGAGCTGCAAAAGCACTCTGCGGAAAGGTAGATATTCTGTGTACTTTACTGAAAGATCCAGCAGAGCTGAATCCAATCTTCTATGTCAAGAACAGTGCAGAGCTTAGAACAGGACATGGAGTGAGTTACCAGGAGCAACTACTGGAAACCTTCAGTGCTTATCAGTTTTTTAGCAGTGTCAGACCAAGTCATTTAATGCCTCCACTTCATTTTCTGCATCAGAATTAAAAAAACAAAACCAAACCCTAAGTGAAAGGAACTGCAACAAGAGTCAGAGAGAAATCAGTATAGATGGGATGATATTTCAGTTATGAATAAACAACATTCCTTTCCTTAAAAAAAAAAAGAAAACCAAACCTCTTAACAACAGCATAAACAAGACCTTCCAAAGAATTAAGAGAAAAGCTGAAGCTAATTTTTACCCTGGAATGGGGGCACCGTGAACACGAGACCTGAGAAGAAGCTCCACGACAGTCAGTATGGAAGCAACAGATTCAAAAGGTGCTTCGACAACTTAATGGAAAATTAACCTGTCAGTATTTGTTAAATACAAAGCTATAACTTCTAACTCAAGAAGCTTCTAAGCCATGTATCACATGAACCCAGGAAACTGCCTGACTGCCTGCTTGCCCTGTGCTGATGCTCATCCCCCGACAGCCATTTCCAGTCCCTGGGGAGGACAAGACCCTGGCCTGATGGCTCCTCGGCTCATCTGGATCAGATCCCTCCTGTACGCTTGGGTAATAGAACAAGTGGAAATTAAGGTCTCAAGTAGCCTGGGGCTGGCATCATCAACACCAAAATCTTGGAGGACACCAAAGATTTCTCCATGTCTTTAGTTGGTTAAGTAGCTAAGACGGTAAAGGTAGCTGCAAGGCAGCTCGTCTCAGGAAATTCAGAGATCCAAACCAAACGGGCCTCTTTTCCCTTTGAGTCAGAATTTCCCACTCTTCCCCTTCTCCCCCCAAATTCCAGATTTCAGTGTGATTTCAGTGCCAGGTTCTGGTGTGCTGATCATCTCCACATCTACCTTGTGTATTACTGAGAATGAAACCTGTGCTACTAAGTTTTAGGAGCATTCTGGGTTAAGATTTGGCAGCCATTGGGAACGAAAAGTGATGGGAAGAAAGAGACCTGAACTGAGAGGGCAGGGATTACACTGCAGGGATTTGCCTGACACGCCCTAGAGACTACCCAAAGCAGAGTTCTCAGTTCCACACCTTGTCACCACCGGGAGACACAGATACAGGAAGGAAATCCCCAAACAAGGTGTAGCAAGAGGTACACTTACTGCGATACACTGCCTCATAATGCAGGACTGCTTCATCCTGCCAGGTCCCCCAAATTTCTTCATGTCTTTGCAGAAGTGACACTCGCCGCACTCTGTCCGCAGACACGCCTCGCACTTGCGGCATCGCGTCCTCCTCCGACGTGCTCCGGCAGTTGTCCGGTTAGCTGCGAGCTTTACCGCAGAAGCAGTGCCCAGTTTCCCTTTGGGCCGTCCGACTGCCCTGTTCTGAAACAGCCAGACACACAAGGTTAATCGCACATCCCACTTACCATCTGAACTACAGAACTTCCTGGGACAGGAGCTGTATCCATCTTAGATGTAAACCCAACAGATGTATCAGGATTATACACAGATGGGCAATACTCAGCAGATGCATGTGATCACTCTTAAAGCCAAAGGAGTTCCATTACCTTTTCAAGAAAAGATGCATTGTAAAAAAGACAAAGAAACCAGGGCATAAATGAGAGATCCCAAACGTAAACGAGAGATCCCAAACCTCCAGCAAGCCCATTTCGGCAGGAGGAGGGCAGGGAGAAGCAATTTACGCACAGCTCGATACAGGGCCAATTCCCAAGTGACGTGCTTGGCTTAGGTCAAGACACGATCTGGGCCAGTGCTGAGCTCTGGGTTAGGGAGCTCTTAGGATTGTGCTCGGGTTAAGCCAGAAGGTTTCCTTTCCTCCGCTGAAGTCGAAGAATCCAAGGAGGCGGCAAAAGTAATTCTGAGGTTAGGTACAGGAAACGCTCGGCAGCAATGGCTCAAGCCACAGCGATCTCCCTAAAACAACAGGAGAGTATGAACTACTGCCAAGTGGAGAAAGTAGGAAATCAAACACAAACACTACAAACCCCTCCAGAGTAACTCCCCTCATATCCAACACTAGCAAGTGCTCGAAAATAGCACACTAAGTGATGCTGTGCAAAGGCTAAAAAGGGCATCCCAGGTCTAGGTTTCAATGACCTTTAAGAGAGAAGCTGAAGGAGCATGAGAAGATTTTAAATGATTAGGTTAACTGCAACATATTCACTCTGGATATCTAAATTTCATGTTCTCATCAGAAAGTCCCTGTTAAACACAAGAACTTGCAGCTCAAGCCAAATATCACTAAATACCATGTAATTGTATGGGGCTAATTACACAAGAATTGGCTTGGCTCATTCTTGCCACTGACAGCTTTCTCCACAGAGATGATAATAATAGGACTGCAAAGTTCATCTAGTTCAGTATTTATACAATTTTTCCACTTTCTGCACATCTCAGCACATGACCAACAGACCAGGCAGTTTCACTTTCTGTTCCCGCTGGATTCTGGGCCATCACCAGGGCAGGGGCAGGCTGGCTAGACAAAGCCAGGCAGAGTTTCCACTGCAGGTTTCAAAAAAAGGGTATGGAAACATTCTACTTGGTACTACGAAAGCTTCCCTAAGTGTCCTGCTATACAACCCTGAAGAAAAGTCACATTGACAAGTATTTGATCCTCCTCCCAGCTGACTGAGCAAAGCTCCAGTGACGTTCGGAAGGTGCAGAAGGTGCTGATATTTTAACAGTCTCCGTCCCAGGAACCTCAGTGCTGGGACAGCAGAGAAGCAAGAAGCCAGACCTTACCTTTCTCTCCCACAGAGCTACTATCGTAACCGAGGCGGGAGAAAACATTGCCTACTTGATGAGGCTACACAGATTTTAGCAAGTTTTTAATTCTGCTGCTCCAGAACAGTTTTCGTTCTGCTGGCAGGTTGAATCGCACTGTGCTCAGTGAGCACAGACAAGTGCAGCTTTCTTCCCATCAGCAATGGCACCAGACGCCTGGATTTCAGATCAATTTCAGACACTCTAAAGAATAAATATTTACCTTTTAGACCAAGTTTTCAGCCTCTCAAGGATAAAGTCAGCTCTGCCAGGACTGGCTTAGAGGCAACCTAGATAAGAGATAATTTCCTTCCTCAGCATGAATCACTCCTCCTCCGTTCGCTCTATCAGAGTCCTTCCACTAGCAAGGGGGGCGAGAGGCTCAAACCAAAGGCTAGACATCAGCGGGAACAAGTTAAACCAAACAACTGGTACCACCACCTGGGCAGTTTCCCTCTGACAACAGCCCATGGAAGATTTTGCGAGAGCATCTGACTCCTTCACACCAGGACTGAATACGATTAAGTTTTTTAAGAAGGCAAACAACCATTACGACACCATCAGAACAGGCGTTTTCAAATGCGATCTCTTTCAAGGAAAAATCAAACTCTGTGCTTTTCCAGCTGAAAGACAACTCCTGATTCTGCCACAGTAACGTGAGCCAAGTCCTAATTCTGAGGACAGCGTCTAAGTGCCAGGACATTGCAAAGACACAAGCAGTAAAACAGCATCGCTTGAACACAGGATTTCAGAATCCTTAAAAAAAAAAATAAAAAAATAAAAAGAAAAGAAAAGGGCAGGAAGGTGAAGGTACAAGAACAAGTCTGAAGCCAGACCACACCACCCAACTCAGATTTCCTTACAATTCACCACCACAGAGGTGCAGCCCCCCTGTACCTGACATTTCTTACCTATCCAACCCTCCCCACTGCTCGTTAGGAAATCCAAGCAATTGTACTAGCTGGGTTTGTACTAACTTACCCACCGACCAACCCTCAATCCAAGCCACATTTTCACTCCAGGATGTCGCAGCCAGCAAAGGCTAGAGAGGCCTTACAGGAATTCCCACTAGTATCTAGTTTCAAGGGGCTCCAAAGTGGTCGCTTAAAAACCTCCACAGAAGAAAATCTGGCCTGTGGGTTGCTATCCCAGGAAGGGGCTGGGATTCGAGGGGGTAGAAGGAGCCTCCAACATGACCTGGGGTTTATTTAGCACGTGGCAGCCAGCCAGATAAATTCCAGGTCGATGTTGGTGACGAGATGCTGCGGGATTTCCAGCTCAGGCTGCAGTTTCACTAAGTACCAGCCCTGGTAGCAAAACCAGGTAAAGATTTCCTTCCCAGTGCCTGCTCCCATCTCTGTACAGCCGTTCGCTGCTCTCCCAGCACAACTCTGTGCAGCTGCCCCGTGAATAACGGGCAAACGGCGGGGGATGGCAGGATTCTGCATCCTGGGTCTACCATGGTGGCCAGCAAACAGCAACTCCACGGCCTCAAGCTCAGGACTGGCGGCACGCTAAGCCCTGTGCTAGGTTCAGGACTGATGCAGTCTCCCACCTGTGTGGCAGATCCTGTTATCTGCTTTCCCAAGGAGATGAGCCGAGACCCTCACACACGACCTGTCCTGCTGCCTCTGTAGTCCCCAGCAGCCACCTCTAGGAACTATCAAGAAAAGAAAGATTATACTGAACTTGGTGAGATTCTTTTTTCTTAAATCTTTGAACAAAAACCAGAGAGTTGAGACAGAGCCTGTCTGAAATACCATCACAAGCAATCCCCAGTATCCTCCAGCACCTCCACAGAAACTGTGCCCATCCTTCTCTGGCCACAGCAAGAGTCTTCTGAAGAGGGGCAGGAGGATGCTGAAGTGATGACAACCACGCTTCTCCCAAGCTCCTAACAAAGGCTGTGCAAGCAGCTGCTGAAACACTAGGATTAATATACTGAACACCCACCTCTATTGCACTGAAGCCTAGAAAGCTGGGGGACTTGCACTGCCCTCTAAAACAAGACATGTTAACAGGACATCCTGCTAGGCTTTTTTCTTTTATCCCCCCACACCAGATTACTGAAGCAGCTGCAGCGTGGCCTCTACAGCACCTGGGTACTGGGAATAAACTCAGGCCATCCAAAGGAATACAGGATGAACTACACAGCCATTTACAAACCATGAATTTGGGATCACCCCCCACACCACAGCGGTTAAACACACCCACTCCCCAGACAGGAAAGGGGACAAATTTGCAAACTGATTTTCGGAAGTGCTGAGCTCCTACAAACTCCACCGAATTCCACAGCACTCCAGGTGGATGACGGTCCGGGGGGCTGGGTGGGGAGGTTATCAGCAATTCCAGTCTCTCAACAGGGCTCTGTAGATCTGGGAATAAGCCCAGGTATGACGCTTCCAACCCTGTACAAATCCCCAGGAAGAGTCGCTGCTTGGAGCATTAGTTTATCTTGGCTATGGACAAACATTCGGCTGCTGGGAAGTTTTCACTGCCGGCTTACAAGTACCTTAAGGCGCTTTTGCCATGTCATGTCCCTGCTGGGCAGCCACCGACAAGCCACCCAGCATCACCGGGGTCAGAAGCAGCAGAGGCACAGGGACCCCTGCCCTGAGCACAGCTCTTGCCACAACAGAAACACAACTTTGATGTTTACAGCAACAGATTTCTGACCTTCACAGCAGCAAAGACTAACTCAAAAGACCTCAGGTAAACAGAAACACCAAGAGCAGCAAGTTGGGCAGACAACACTTCCAGAGTTATCAGCTGTGAAACGCATCATTAAGTAGGTGCTGATGCTCCTCAACTGCCACCCCAACACTAACCGGCCCTGTTGGAGCTGTCACCAGGCAACTTCCCATACAAACTCCTCTGCTCTGGAGAGGAAGATGGGCTGAGCTGCGAGCCAGGCCAGGAGCATGGAGGCCCGGCTCCTAGAAGCCAGGCTGACAAAGCCTGCCGCCTAGGAACAAGCTGTTCTGCAAGAGCATGGGTCTTATTCCACCACTCAGCAACAGGGACCTGCTAAAGCCACTGCCAGCGGCACTGTAACATTATTTCAGATTCAACATCTCCCAGAAAAATCCAGGGACATGCACAGTACCCTTCTGAGGCGCTTATCACATGGCCAGCTCAGCGAGACCCTGAAGCACTTCACTTCCTCACCAAGTACGATCTGAACAGCTGATGTATCTATCCACCGTGTAAATCTCTCCAAGACATCTCACATGTGGAGTGCTCATTGCTTCAAGGTGCTGTGCCACATAAATATATTCCTTCCGCTTGCAACGCAGGGGAGATTTCCTTCTGCAACACTTGGACAGCTTCTGATTATTCTGGTTTGCAGTGGTTTGACCAAGTCCACACAACCACATCAGCACCGAAAGAAAGACGAGGACCAGGCTTCCCGGGTGCCAGTCCTGCACTTAGACCTTTATATAGCACTGCAGCCCAATGCAGTTGTTTTAACTGAATTAGAATAGACAAATGTAATTATCAGTTGTTCCTTTATAACATCTGATAAATAAACACTAGGGGGAAAAAAGCCACACACATGAACTCGCAATTTGTAACTGTTGTCAGCTAAACCACCA